GTGGGCCCCACTGCTTTTGTTGTTTTTTTACAACGGTTATATTTTGTATTTGAAATATAACTGTTGTAATTATTTAAAAACAAAAAAAAAACCAACGACCATAAAAAAATTTTCTCTATAAATAAACATGCATTTTGATATATTTTGATATACTTTCAAAAAAACCCATAAATTAGAGAAATTAACATATTTTCCCAATTTTTTCTTGTTATTATTATTATTATAATTATTTCTTATAAAAAAAATTTCCAGTTAGTATTATTAATATTTTTAAACGTAATTATAAATTTTTATTAAATTATTTTTAAACATAATTAAAAAATAATGGAGGAGAAAGTGATGAGAGGTTTTTTTTCTCCTCATTGTTGTGGTGAAAAAAACATTTGATGAGAGAAATTGTATGGGAGGAGTGAGAAAGTGGGTAGAGAGATATTGAGAGGTTTTTTTTTTCCTCACTGCTATGGTCTAATGGATCGGATAGGCTGGGTCTAGTCCGGTCGTATGTATTATCATGGTAAATCATTACCCCTGTACATATAAATTGAAATCTAATCAGGTTATTTTCATGTCTAATTTAAACGGGTCGAATCTTTACTATTTTATAAAATTATTAATTTTTATTTCATTTATTATTGTAGGGATAGTCTTAGTATAGAATCAACACAAACTTTTATATGTAAATGGATACACTATGTGGCTAATCGCTATGGGGTTACGTGGTCAATGTTAAAGGGGTTACTTCGTCAATGTTATAGGAGTTACTTGATTTGTTTTAGAGGTTATTCGGTTAGTGTTACAAGGGTTACTCGTTCAATGTTATAAGAGTTACTTTATCCGGCCACATGATATAATTAGCTACACACAAAACATGTTGTAAAATCAATTGGTATTTCCTTTACCTCAAAATAGTGCCAAGTTTGCAAAAATTAGTTCTTATACATGTTAGAGTTGGTGTGTTGACTTTAAAAGTGATATGTCAAAATTAAAAAATTAATAATATGAAACAGAGAGAGTATTAGTAGCGAAATTTTTAAAACAAAACGTCACATAAACGAAACATCTAGAATTTAATAATACAAAAAAGAAACGAAAACGCGAATGAGAGGTGTGGAGCACGTAAGTAAAAGAAATGTTAAAATCATCAATGAATTAGACTAGACAACAAGCACTTAGTGTGATAGATTTGTATGCCAACAAAAAATAATAATAATTGTGTGATGGATTTTCCATAAAATATCACTTCGTGTCTTTCTTTTTTTTAGGAAAATATTAGGCAATCTGAATCCACTAAAAGTACAAGACTATGTGAGAACGGACTCATACAAACAACTTCAGAGCAACCACGAGTATCCCATCTTGCTACAAGCTGAGCTAATGTATTACCTGCCCTTTTAATATGAGAAGAAATAAAAGCATTAAAACACTTAGATAAAATGTTAATATCATCATAAATTAACCAAATTGGCGAGCAATCTCTGAAGCCGTTTTTTTATTAAAGTACAAACAGAAGAAGAATCACCTTCCAGCCACACCTTGTCACACCCAAGTGCCTAGCCACCAAGAGCCCAAAACACACAGCTGCTGCCTCAGCACACTCTACCTCCCACACACCCTCAAATCTTCTAATTGCAGCTTAAACGAGCTCTCCCCGATGGTTTCTCGCCACTGCTCCCAACCCCATATAGGAAGTAGCTACAAAAACAACCACATTTACCTTTATAAAACCTTTTGAGGGACGTTGCCACGCTGTTGAAGAAAGACTTGCACATCGAGGATGGCCGCAGTACACTTTATTGGAATACATACAATAGTCTGCAACAAGCTTTACATAGCTGGCAACCGTCTGAAAAGCATTTAGAGACAAACCCTCATGAACCAACTTGTTCCTGCAAAACCAAAGGGACCATGCCATGGAACATAACACTCGTAACTCATCCCGACCTAATTTACCAGCAAGCCACACAAACTTCGTGTCTTCATATAACGATATAAGTCATTTAGAGACAATGTTACCCTATTTAATACAAGAACAATAATTAAAAAATAAAAATAATAATTGCTACTTTGCTTGCATTATGGAATTTTTTTTTTTTTAACTATATTTGGTCATTAATCCCAAATTTAGTTATATGTGAGTAATACTAGATGAAATAAATAAAAATTATAAAATACAATGATAAAATATACCTATCACTACATTATTTACTTCACTAAACTTAAATTGTTTTTTATTAAATTAAAATTATTTTTACTGAAATTAATTTATGTTTATGAACTTAGTTTTACTGATAAAAATTATTATTATTGAACTTAAGTTATTTTAGCAAATTAAAACTTTTTTTTTTTACTGATTTACTATTATATTTGTTCTTTTATATTTTTAAGTTTTACTGATTACAACTTATTTTATTCGAACTTAACTTATTTTTGCTCAATTAAACTTATTTTTTGCTAAAATTTACTTATTTATTAATTCGGATTGAGACACATAAAATAGATGATACTTGTCCTTTATTTTTTTCTTCTTTATTCTTTTTTTTTTTTTCTTGTCTTCTACGTATTTGATTAGTGAGAGTGAGTAGCTAGAAATCAAAGATATAAAGTAGAACAAAGACGCATAACATGGTAGCATTCTCTTTTCTCCCTTTCTTTTTCATAAATCATAAGCCAACATTAGTAGTAAACTTTAGCAAATGCCTTGTAAATAAAGTTTGGGCAAGACTTCTTATCCACAAACTAATACGTTAACTTGTCAATCATCATGGTAGGGGTCTAGGAGAAAAGACTTTTACAAAAATAGTTTGATTAAGTAATACCTCCTTTGTTCCTATTGTAGGAAAAGTTGAGGTGAGTATTACAAGAATTACAACGTGAGAAATTTATACTGTCCATAAAAAACTGTCCCATATATAAAAGTAGTTGTCTTTAAAAGATTGCTTCACATTATAATCAGTAATACCTCTGTTTCTGAAAATTTGACCCACTTATTATTCATGTGGTCAAAATAAAATAACTTTGACCATATTTTATATTATAATTTATGTTGGAAAATAACCTGTTGAAATCAAGAACAAAAACAAGAAATACCGTTACAACTAATCAAGATCCGTCCTCCTTCGGTTGTGCCGTGGTTTGGAGCCCACTGCCTTAGAAGCAAAACATGCCACCACCGGTACAGATATCCTAGTGACGCACGCCCCCCAAGTTTTACACAACGACCTCCCCAATCTGTGTACCCGAACTCGAAGGTTGAAATTGCTCAAGAATTGTTCAGATCTCAAAGGGTAGGTTTGTGTTTTTGGTTTCGTGAATGAATTAATCAAAAGAGAGATAATACTCGCATTTATATGTATCTCGAAAATAGGAAACAAATAAGCAAAACAAGCTTAGGAAACAGGCGGGCCTGGTCGGGTAGTTGGCCACTCGTCCGGGCGCGAGATAGGTGTTGCGCCCAGTTGGGCGATCTCAAACACTCCACCGGGGCAAGCAACCAGGCAGACACCGCCTTGCCGGGCTCGTCAGAAATAGGTCCCGCCGCTCGGTCGGGCGAACCACCGCCCTACCGGGCGCGAGAGAGCGACCAATTCCTACAGCCAGAATCGCCCGGTAGGGCAACGCCTGCCCGACCGGGCGCGAGTACTCCTTGGAACAGCATTGTTTAATCCCCCACGAGTGCGGGTCGTCAAGGCTTTGCAATTGATCCGATTGCATTACCATTTCCAACAATCCCCCACTAATGCAAGCGGATTAACAACATGAAATCTGAACATTAAATGAAAGTCTCAGTACTTAAATGCTAGTATCTGAAGATTTCAACTAACACATTAGTGCACAAGGTTTTCAACACTCCCTAGTGAGTATCCTAAGATTTTAACTCCTAGGAGCGAGGAAGGGACCTTGTAAACACATACCTTGACTTTAGAGCTTAAGCAACTTCGCAAATTTTGGCTACTATTGTGAACTAATGAGTACTTCAAAAGAACCATACTTGTTCTCTCTAGAAGAGCACCACTCTTCTTACTCACGTAGGTGTTGCCCCCCATCCGGGAGAAACCCCAAGAGGAGACTCTATTCTCGGTATTCAGCCAATCACTTAGACTGGCTTGAGCTAAGTGGTATGGTAAGGCCTCGCGCTGATGACACCCCACCTCGACCCCTTCCCCTGAACCACCTTCCCCCTCCCTAAAACCCCCTCCTCTCCCTTCGAAAAACTCTTCCTCCCCACCGGCCGGTGCCAAAACCCCCTCCCTGGCGAACACGATTCGCCCTACCCTTGCCATCTCCACCCCGTTTCCTCCCCTTAAACCACCACTCGAAACCCTAAACCCTCAAATAAAAAATCTAGGGTTTCGAATAGAAAGATTATATTGTAATAATATGATAAATATAACTTTAAGAATATTTGACGAAAAGAAAAAGGAAAAAAAAAAGGTGTCTTTGGAGGAAAAAAACAGCACTAGGAAGTGACACGTGTCATTTATGGTGTTTGATTTAGTACATGTTATTGATAAGTGACTGTAGTAAACATCCTTGATTAGAACTCATTCGCTGTATAGCTTGTTAGAATGACCCAAAACTAAAGTGACCCGAACAGATTCAAATTGACCTAATTTTAAAAAACAGCCCAACATTATCTGATTATGATGCAACCTAAGCCGTTCGTATCCGATCCAAATCCACACTACATATCCAATTTGAAAACTTTGTATACATCGGATGTATAATAATCTCAGTGCTCGAGGTGTCAATTCGGTGATTAGATCATTCGGACGAGTCTAGCTTTATCTGAAGTCATTCTATATCATTATGCTCATTAAAATTAAAATCTAAATTAGATTACTTTTAGATTAAGTCTAACCGGATCAGTTTTTAACACCTCTGCTAATATGTACCCTTTCTAATGACCTATCGGAGTACCGACTAGTTAGTTAATTTATGCAGCAAATTGCAATTGATAAATGCAACATGGACAAGTAACATATGCAACTCCTATAAGACAGTGAGATTCCAGTTATTGGGATACTCGTACTCGCACACTATATATATACAACTCCACGCTATTCTTCACCTTCACCTTCACCTTCACCTCGTTCTTTAGATCCAAACATTTCCAGAAAATCTCTCTCTTCTTTCTCTCTCCTGCCATTTCGGATCAACTTTTCCTCTATTTTCGCAGGTCATCATTTACTTCCACAATCTTAATCAATTAAAAATTAAAAAATGTCATCAATCTGTTAATTTTAAATTAATTATTGTTATTGATTTTCATGATCTTAATCTGACTTCAATTTGTTGAAACTTTCAGACCTAATTTCAGGTTCAATCGAAAAATTAGGGTTTTGGAAATCCCAATTTATTACTTGAAAATGGCGGGATTAACATTACCCGAAGAATTGAACCATGATGTTGTTGCTTTGTTGAACCGAAAGGATTTGGATCCGATGGCAGTGGTTTTAGAGTCGATTCCGCCAGTTGTTTGTAATGGCGAAAATGGGGTTGTGAAGAAGATCAAGACTGGTGAAAATGGTAAGAGAGAGATAGTTTTGGGTCGGAATATTCACTCGTCTTGTTTTGATATTACCGAACCCGAAGATAATGACGGGGTTACTGGCGATAAGGAGGCGTATATGGCTGGTGTTTTGGCTAGATACAGGCAAAGTTTGGTTGAGAGGACTAAACATCATTTGGGTAATGATCATTTCCTTTGTTTTCTTGTTTTATTTGATTTTTCAAGCTTTTGGGAGCTTCATTCAGTTAATTTTTTTTGATTAATTTGTTTCTATTGTATATTTATTAATGATGATTGTTTATTTAAATGTAACTTAGATTTTGTTTTTCTTGTTTTTATAGATTTTTCAAGCTTTTGTAGCTCCATTCAGTTAATTTCTTGATTATTGTATATAATAACGATGACTGTTTATTTATATGTAACTTAGATTTTGCTTTCTTGTTTGATTTGATTTTTTTCAAGCTTTTGGAACTCCATTCAGTTAATTTTCTTGATTTACATGTTACTATTTTATATTTAATAATGATGAATGTTTATTATAAAGGTAGATTGTACAAGTATATTTTATTACCTCACTGAATAGTGATTTCGGTTTGATTATGAATTTGCACTTGATAGTTGATATGCCCCTCAAGCTTTGAAGCTTTTGGTTGGCATTTTTATGTATTGAGAATTTGAGATAATGGGATTAGACGATTAGTGTCAATTTAGTTTTTTTATTAAAAGAGTTGCGAGTATGAAGTTAAGTCATTAGATTCCGGGGAAATTTGGGATTTTTTGCATCAGATAATCTTTATTATATAGTACGGAGTACTTTGTAGCGAAAAACAAAGCTTTGTGATGATTATTTGGACAGATAAGTGGTTTGTTGTTCTAGTAATTGACTTCTGTATTTTCTGTAGACTATGAATTACAACTATAGTAATTATACTGCTGCTAATGCTCTTTGTGACTGCCATCACAGTCATGGTGAGTTTAAATAGTTTTTCCTTTTTCTGTGAAATTTCACCTGATAGTTCTATTGCAATATGAAAAACTAGTAACACTTTTGGACTTAATACTAGAAAGTCTAGAATTAAGTCTTTGCCACACTTGAATAGGTTGCTTACATGGTAGAATATAGTGATATTTGCTCTTTACTGTTTTTTTTGTAATTTTTTTATGTAATAATATTTAATATTTTGTTTTCTTTCTTTTTTGTTTTTTAATTGGGGGAAGAGGGGAGGGGGTTATTGCAGGCTTTGCAGCTTAATGGGTCGTCTTTGTCCTCTTTGATCAAAAGATCTTGATTAATTTATAATGAGTAATAGGAAGAAATAACTTTTGTGGAGATCCTTTGGTGGAGAAATTTACTATTTGTGATCTGGGAAAGGTCAAGGGGATCGATACCATAGGGGCATAGGGTGCCAAGCTGCTAACTCTAAGATCATATGATATCAGTTCTGGTGTCATGCTTCTAAGTTGTTTAGCATGTTGATGTAGTTCTGCATAAGAGGGTTCTATTTCATACAAGTATTAAAAATGAAAGATTCTTTAGATTTATGAAGATCAAAATCATCGAAATCAGGGGGAAGTGTTGCACTTTTCTCTTTTTTAGCCATTTACTGCAAAAGTATGGTCTATTAGTGGTAGTCATTTTCCTACTTTTAAAAAAAAAAAAAAAAAATTAAGTTTGTAATTTTTATAGGGACCACCACTTTATCATTGAACATTTGGAGAAATAGTAACTAGTGAGCTGTCCAATTGTGTGGTTCCTGTAAGTTATGTAGTATGATCCACAAGACAACAACTCCATGGTTGTTTTGTGCTAGATTTCTCAATCACGATGGAGATAGTTGTGTCTTCTAAATATTCTACATCATTTACCTGTTGAACCTTGGACAATAAATGCCATACGTATCATTTTGAGATCACATAAATGGAGTATACATATTTTCTGGATGTCTTTTTTTCTTAACTTTTGGGTAGCCTGAAATTAGGGTCTACCAACCTTATTAATTGATCAATCTAATGAAGGGCTATTAATATCATCTTAACTTTTAGAGTGGCAGAAATCATGTTTGTTTGTAATCTTCTTTTCTGGAAAGACATGTTTTTCTGAAGATGGAAACGCTGACATGTTTAAAGTATTGGAAAGCTGAGATTTTAAGTGGATCGTTGTTCCTTTTACGGTTATACCTTTGTATATCAGGCCTACATGCTCACCAACTGAGGTTGTACTTGTTCTATACGCTGCAATGTTCTATGCTCCATATTGATGGATGAATTTAGCTTGCATTTGTTAGACAGTGCTTAATTTTTATTTTATCTTAGTTTTTCTAACCAAGAGAGGGAAACTGTTGGTATTACGATTAGAAGGTACAGATATAAAGATACACGAGTCTTCGATTTGATGCAACTTTTTTTATGTGGTAAAAACAATTATAACTTTTTTACAAACACAATATGAATTCTAACCGCCAAAAAAAGTTGAGAATGAGAACAAAAGTTAAACAGAATATTGACTGAAGTATGAACAAACGATTATAAAAGAAAAGCTGTATATGAAACAGAAGGTAATTGTAAAAGTTAAATACAGAATAAAACATTTCCTAATAGTCTATCCTTTCTTATGCACTCCTTTCTCCTCAGCTTTCTTCTTAGCCTATTCTTTGTCAGACGACTATAATTTTGATATCCTTACTATTATTTATCTATCAAGGAGAAGGCATGATTTGCCTGAAGAATTTTGTGGTCTGAGATATATGAAACCGAGGATTTTGGTTATGGCTCGACAACAAAGTCTTAAGGCTTTCCCTTAATATGTGTTGGGCTGCATTTACTGATCGAATACCTTATAGTACAATAAATTATATGGAGGTGGATAGTATGGTTCCTTGCCCCAGCCTGCCCTTGCTTCCAATACTGACATTGAAATACTTGATTTATATTGTTGGGCTTCTTTTTAATTGTATGCATGCACTGTTGTGATGTGGCTGCTTCACCTTGTTGCAGGATATCCTTACAACTTGGACTTTGATTATGGCGCTTTGAGTCAATTGCAACATTTTTCAATAAACAACCTCGGTGATCCATTTATTGAGAGCAATTATGGTGTGCATTCCAGGCAATTTGAAGTGGGTGTTTTAGATTGGTTTGCCCGTCTTTGGGAGATTGAGAAGGACCAGTACTGGGGATATATTACAAACTGTGGGACAGAAGGAAACCTTCATGGCATCCTTGTGGGGTAAGTATACTTAACGCCCATTAATCTATTATGGAACACTTGAGGGGTGGTCATGGTCTTTTAATTCTCTGCTGGTTTATGAATTTTCAGGAGAGAAGTGTTTCCTGATGGCGTTTTATATGCCTCGAAAGAGTCACACTACTCAATCTTCAAAGCTGCACGCATGTATAGGATGGATTGTGTTAAGATTGAGACGTTATCATCCGGAGAAGTTGATTGTGCTGATTTCAGAGCCAAGCTTCTCCAGAACAAGGATAAACCAGCCATCATCAATGTCAACATAGGTAAATCCTTTTTACTTTGCCTCCTGAAAATTTTGAACTTGTTAGTTTTGGAGATTATTTTTTTATTAATTTTGTCTATTTATAATTTTATAGGGCCAAATATAGATATTAAAGAGAGGTTTGATTTTATCAAATCTTTAATGGGAGTGTTTGGTTGAGAGAAAATTAGGAGAGAGGTTTGAGCCCAAAAGGATAAATTTGAAAAAGATGTTTAGAGGAGCTTTTTCTAATTGTTTAACAAGATTTCTAGATAATTTTCCTAGAAATAATTTTTCCAATGTCCTTATTGGTCATTTTAATACATAACGTAGCCATTAGGTATTTATCAAACCCTTTTTACACACACCCACCTACCCACCAAAAAAAGAAAAAAAAAAAAAAAAAAACTTTGATATCTTTTGTGAGTAAAACTTTTTCCTTAAATTACAAAATTAACATGCTTGACACCTTTCTGTGTCTAATACTCTAATATGTTACTTTTATTGCAGGAACTACTGTAAAAGGAGCTGTTGATGATCTTGATCTTGTGATACGGACTCTTGAAGAATGTGGCTTCCCCCACAATCGGTTCTATATCCACTGTGATGGAGCCTTGTTTGGTCTTATGTTACCATTTGTTACTCAAGTAAGTACTTATCATTATTTTTACCATTTGTTAAAGAGAAAAAAAAAAAAAAAAAAGCTATCTTAGAGACGTTTGTCCACGTCACAAAAAAGTGGTGACATCTGAGCATTCAGTTTTTAGACACTTGGTAGTTGGTACCGTCAACCATGTATTGTCTTGGTATTTTTTTTTCTTTTTGCTGTTGACAAAGTCTTGGTGAAACTGCTGGTTGCATTAGTAATTAAGGATGTGTTCTCTTCAGCTTACTTTGACATATCTAAACGTAGGATGTGTTCTATTCAACCTTAATTATCTAAACTTATTTTGTCTATTCTTGTTTTATTTGAACACTTTTCCTTACACTTGATCTGAACTTATGAACTTGTCTAAACTTAGAAGCTTGTTTGAATTTCTTATTACTTGTTTTGTTTGAAACAAGCTAAAATCAGTTGCGCAAACATAACACACCCGAAGTTATGGGTCTGGGTTCTCATTATGATATGGCTGGCTGCTTGGTAAAGATGTTGGCCAAATTGGTAGAAGCTGGTGGCTCCATCTTTTTAGGTTCATGTCTGTACCAGGGTGTTGCATTGTTGATCTTTGTGGTCCTTGGGGTTGTTCATTTTCCATCACACTTTGTCCAAAAAATTGGAACAAGATTTGCTTGTTCAAGGAGTTGTCCAATTGTCTTACACGTTCTTCCTCTCAAAAGCAGCTACATTAATACAAACTATTTTGGAGAACTGTCCAATTGTCTTACATGCTAGGTTGTGTCAAGCTATTGTGCAAGTTGATTTTTGAGCTATTATTATTACATATTTTGTGCTACTGCTCACGAGTATTACACTATGCAGGCACCTCAAGTTACATTCAAGAAGCCCATTGGTAGTGTCAGTGTATCTGGCCACAAATTTGTGGGGTGCCCAATGCCCTGTGGTGTTCAGATAACAAGGATGGAGCACATCAATACTCTGTCTAGTAACGTGGAGTATCTTGCTTCAAGGGATGCTACAATCATGGGGAGCAGGAATGGCCATGCTCCTCTATTTCTATGGTATACCTTGAACAGAAAAGGATATCGTGGTTTCCAGAAAGAGGTTCAAAAGTGCCTCCGCAATGCCCACTACCTTAAAGACCGGCTTAGAGATGCTGGAATTAGTGCCATGCTCAATGAACTAAGCAGCACGGTGGTGTTTGAGCGTCCTCACGATGAGGAGTTTATCCGACGTTGGCAGCTGGCTTGCCAAGGAAGCATAGCTCATGTGGTTGTGATGCCTAGTGTTACAATAGAGAAACTCGATACTTTCCTTGATGAGCTAGTTGAGAAACGTTCAACTTGGTACAAAGATGGGGGCAACCAAATTCCATGTCTTGCATCTGAGCTAGGCAAGGAGAACTGCGCTTGCCCTATGCATGAGTGAGAATTTGCTTGCTCGACTAGTTTTCCTACTGGACCGAAGTATTTCATTCAGATTTCCTTACAGCAGTGTATCATTGTTGTTGTCATTAACGGTGTTGGTATTTCTTATGCTCGGGGTATTCCATTTCAAGGTTGAAGAGAAGTAATCTACATAGTGATAGCATTTCGTGTGGCATAAATAAAAAGTGAGGTGTTTTGTTAAGATGGGGTTTGCGCAATCCCACTCAATCAAAGTAATACTATTGTATGCTTGTTTCGTGTACTTAAGTTACACACCTCGTAAATGTAGCAGTGTTGTAATGGACAATCCAATGTGATATCTATCTGTGTATTCTAGAGTTTGTGAGCTATCTTGAAGCTAGAAGTTTAAGGTATTTATATGGAGATTTCTTTTGATCAAACCACTAATAGTGGCTATGTATTCAATATTCAGTGGTTCAATGGACGATGGTGCCTCTCTTATGATGGCCGTCTACGAAACTTGGCAATCGCTACTAATTTTTTATTGCAATAATTTTTTATTTATGCTTGTCAGTTGTCAGTGTATAGTTTCAATCACTAATATTTTTAGTTACCAATATGTAAGAATTAAGTTTGGAAGTGTAAAAAAAAAGCAACATGCTTCGGTTTGCATGCTATAAAACAAAAACCGTGTGGTAATACAAAAAAGTAAGAGGTAAGGTTGTTTTTTTTTAAAAGTGATTATTTTCAAATTTTCCTTTAATAAGAGAGTTTTAAAATTTAAAGTTCTTTAGAGGAAATTTGATTTTAGGGACTGTTTTCTTCACCTTAATTTTGTTGAATTTAAATTATTTTTAACAAAAATTAAAACTAATAATCCCACCTTTGGCTCATCTTCTCAAAATAATCCCACCTTTACGTATTTTGGAAATAATTTCACCTTTATACCCCATATTCTCAAAATGAACCTTTCTACTTGCAATCGTTTTAACAGGTAAATTTTTTGTTTTTTTTTTTCTTTAATCTATCTCTTCCCACCTTATCACCTTCTTTCATGGCAACCCCTCCATCACCACCATGGGTACCACCCCTACCTCTGAACTAAATTAGCCCTAACCACCACATCACCACCGAATTGACCCCCATTCCGAAACTCAAAGGGGCTACCATGTTCCACTTCCAACCATTACAAATCCAATCAGCCACATCGCCAAAAGCAATCTCTCATACTGTACAAATTCCAGCAATCGCATGACCATCTCCAACCCCTAATTCTCACACCCTTACACAACAGCCCCAACCTTCGCCTACTCCCCTGCTCCCCACCGCAACAACCACCTGACCAGCCCGTTGCAACAAACTGCAACCAGCCAGCCATCTCCACCTTCCCTCAACAACCGCTTAGCCGCAACTCCAGCCACCTCCTCACCGCAGCCAATTCTGGCACCATCGAACCACAACCCTTCTCCGCAACACCCAACCACAATGGCTTTGGGCTGATTTGTGGGTTGTATTGCGAATTCTGGGCGCTATTTTTGTTTGAATTGGTGGTTGTTGGGATTATTTTTGGGTTGAATGAGTGGTGGAGCGGCGCCGCTGGTGAGGTGCGTTGTCGGTTTTAATTTGGTGGCTGGTGGCGTGTGGAGTTAGGTATTATACGGATGTCAGAAATGGTGAATGGCTTTACAATGGTTTTGGTGAAACCGGCGTCCGGCATGAAAGGAAATAAGCAAAGGGGAATTCCAATAGGTGCCTGGGTTAGGCTGATCCGGCGGGTTGCTGGTCCGACGGGAGAGGGAAGGTCTAGCAAGGGACGGAATCGGTGGCTGGTTCTGGTTGTTTCGACGATTGGTTGGGTTCGGCTGTTTCGGCGAGTGGCTGGGTCCGGCTGGTCATCGGGTGGCTGCTTCGACAAGGCGTTTACTCCGGCAAGGAAAGGAAGAAGGAGGGTTATTATTATTATTATTAGTATGAATATTATTATTATTATTATTATTATTATTATTAGTATGAATATTATTATTATTATTATTATTATTATTATTATTATTATTATTGTTATTAAAAGAGGCAGCAAATTACACGAAGTTGGATGGGAGTCTAGAAACAAGTTGAGCTCCCACCCCTTTCTGAATGCAAAAGCTCAAACGATGAAATAAAAAATCGCCAATCCTAGCATTGTTACAATGGCTAATAGCAAGAGATTTGATACGTGAGAGAGTACCCAGAGCCTCCTCCTCTAATTCTCCAAACGTAGAGAAAGCAAAAGGGATGAACTTGTACCCATTCTCCTCGCATTTTGACGCGTACTTCTTTTTCTTTTCCACAGCACAATTCAAGGCTAACCCAGGAGCCCAAGAACTCTAACCCATGCCTACAAAGAGAGAAATGCCAGTAACGTCCAAACAAACATCTTTGCCCCGATACCAATTAACCAATAAAAGATCCGCAGGTCTGAGATCCTTCCCATCCTCAGAAAGGAAGCCCATGGGAGCCTCCTTGCGCGCCGCAATCCCAACTTTGGAGCATATGTCAAAAAGAGTATCACGCACCAAATCGTGTCTGAACTTCACACCCACTTCACTAGAGCAATGGACAGCATGATCTCCTCACTGATCCATCTTAGGGGCATTGCAGCTCGGACAAAGACTGCCTTCATCGAAAAGAGGTATCATGAGCCTATAGCATAACACCGAACGGAATTGGCGGTGGTTCATCGTCTGCCCCAAGCCCGCAATGGGGATATTATTATTATTATTAGTATTATTATTATTATTATTATTATTATTATTATTATTATTATTATTATTATTATTATTATTATTATTATTATTATTATTTATTCCTTTATTTTAAAAAAAATTATATATAAAACCCAATTAGAAGGTGACACGTGTCATATTACCTTCTAAAACAGGTTACCAAATTTACAAATCGGTAAAAGACTTATTTTGAGAATATGGGGTATAAAAGTGGGATTGTTTTCAAAATACGCAAAGATGGAACTGTTTCTAGAAGGCGAGCCAAAGGTGGGATTATTAGTTTCAATTTCCTTATTTTTACTGATTAAAACTTATTTTTATGATTTTTTTTGTTAATTTTTTTTATTGAAATGGATTTATTTATGATAAACTTCACTTATTTTTGCCGAAGTTAAATTAATTTTATTGATGAGAATCGATTCCAGGATCACCTAGAATCGGGAGGAAAACCTTAACCACTTAAGTTATCCCTTACTCTTATTGATATTATTTAATAAGGGTGGAGTGAATAGGACCTTAGCATAATTTTATGTAAATCATAAAAAACATTTATCTTAGGTTCAATTAATACGGAGTAAGAAACTTCAAATTAAAGAAAATTATTGTATTTTTTTTTTAATATTTAAATGTGAAAAACTTTTGATAGTTCTTTCGAGAAAAATTAAATTTATGGGGCTTTCAATAATGGATCTCATCCTCGAGACGATGTTTTTTCTCTTGAGTTTATTTTCTTTTTATGTTTGTATGGCGAGAATTGAGATTTAGGGTTTCATAATCTCTACAAGAATTCAGAGGACCGCATGAGTATTTTCACTCAAACGACTACGCATCAGTGGATTTCAAGCCGAATCAGTGCAAACTCACAGATTGTATTAATTCAGATGAAGTTTTTTATTAAGGCGATTGTTGATCAAATCTACGATGTATCTAGTTTTAAGGTGTTATGTATTTGTATTGGAATTCTTTATTTCTTAGGAGTTATATATAATTATATAAGTGTCGTTTGACTATTGTTTATTAATGAAATCCCTTTTCTTCCCGTAAAAATAAAATAAAATTGTAAATCAATCCACTTTTATGTTTTTTTTATTAAAAAATACTTCCTCCGTTTTTTAATAGTTGCAATAGTTTGACTTTTACACTATTCAAGTGTTTCACTTTGACAAACTTTGATGATTTATAGCTATGCAAAAATATAGTCATGTGGAATCTTGTTAGATTTGTCTCGATTTATACTATTTTAATATCAAATGTTTATAATTTTGAAATCATGTTAGATTGATAATTAAAGATATTAACGATTGAAATCATGTATCGACAAGCGTGAAAGACAAGTGCTGCAATTACAAAGAAACTGAGGAAGTAGATGAAATGACAAAACTATCCCCATTTATTATATGAAATGGAAAAGCTGCCCCTCTTGTATTGGCTTGAAATGGAAAAATTGCCCCTCCTTTATTAGCTAAAATGACAAAATTACACCTGATAATCTAATATATGAAGTAAAAGTACAATTTAGGCTTATACACCGGGAGGGTGTTTGTTTAGGGGGATAAAAGGGGTGAGATAAGGATTAAAAAATAGGGATAGAAGAAAAGTAGTATTTGTTTAGAGGGATGGAGATTAGAAGGGGGTTAGGCAAGGACGAATCTAGGAATTTAATATGGACCGGACTGGATCTCTAAAGCATATTTATAAGTTAACTTTTAGATTTCTACAACAAAGAATAAGATATTATTATAAGAGGTAAAACTCCTTAGGCTAATAAAAAGGATATTAAAAAACACAAAAAGAAAAAGGAATCATTGAGCTATAAGTGGAAATATCAATACGAAGTATAACAACATTTATTTTAAACAAAAAAATTGTGGGCTATGAGTTTTGATCTCTAAACCCATACATTCAATGGTTAACAATGCAACCAACTCAACTAAATTATCTTCAACAAATATAATTGCAACTTAATTGTATTATATATTTTTTGGATCATGGGGCGGGCCATGGCCTGGGCTGGCCACCCCCTGAATCCGTCTTTGGGGTTAGAAATAGGGAATTAGGGATTAAAACACCCACTTATCCCGACCTTCATTTCTATAACTAAGGGGGAGTGATACAAAGGGGAGGGATAAGAAATGGGTTAAAAAGGTCCAAATTACCCTTAATGAAATTGAAAGGGTAAGGAGAAAGGGTGGAAGTTAGTAAGGATATTTTTATAATTTTATTACTTATCCTTAATTTATTTCCTATACTTACCAAACATAGGATAAAAATTATTTATCCTTGTCCCACCTATCAATCCCCTATCTTTATCCTCCTTTCTTATCCCTCTTATTTCTATCCCTTCAACCAAACGCACCATGGATGCTCCTCCTAGTTCTCAACATCTTCATCCTCCAAACTCTAAAACCCTACACCCTTAAACCCTCTCAAACTCTCAAAGAGAGAAAAAAGAGAAGTTTTTACATACTTTCATTCTAAGATGTCAATGAAATTAATCCAAAATCTCAAACCCACCAAAAAATTTCATGAAATTTCTTATAGTATCCTCAATTCATCAAATACCCACCAAAATCGTCAAATGACAACAAGTAAAAGAGTACAAGACAGGAGCAAAAAGAAGCAAGTTCACGACCTTGAAATCGTCACAGAAAGATGGAAAATTTTCTCCAAAATCCATCATTTAATGGAGGTAATCAAATCTGAACCTGAACATGTAATTTCTGCTGGGCCTTGCTATCGCAAGCAGACAGAGCATAACACTGTGCGTGCTTGCTAGCGAAGCTGGGCCAGCCATCGCTGCAT